AGAGAGAGAGAGAGAGAGAGAGAGAGAGAGAGAGAGAGAGAGAGAGACGGAGACAGAAGTTATGTGTGTACACATTGTGCTTCATTTTTCAGAGACCGAGGAAAACCCAGAGGAAGTGACATTTGAGTTACACAAAACTTTGGCCAGTGCACATGGAACCAAACTGTGTGGAATTTGATGGAACAGAGCCCAAGAGGTTTGTTTGGGAGGGAATGTTTGTAGCCAAATTATCTTCCACTCGCTTCTCTAGAGGCGGTCTCCATTTCTCCCGCCTGCCACGTGGCCTGGAAGGTGATTAACATGGGCTCTGCCGAGACTCCGTGGCTCTGACATTTCCGATTGGCAGCAGCAAGAGATTCCACTCCCACGCGGCCCCTCATTACTCCGCTCCGGTTGGCTGCATTCGGGCACTGAAGCCTACAGCTCTGGGTGTTCTCCCCATCCTTCCCCTTCCTCATCCGATAACAGCTCCAGCCCTGGGGAAGAGGCAGAGCTCACACCATCTCATTTCTAAACTCTGCCTACATCTTCGTAAACAGCTCGGTGTTAAGCTCTTCACAAACTGCCCTCTGAGCTGTTTCCCACCAGGGCCCTAATTGACACCGTGTGTGGTTAATGAGTGTCAGTTCAGACGAGCCAGAGCATGGCATGTACAAGGAAATGGGAACAGACGGCGGAGGGCTGGGCTGCACTGGCCAGCAGCGGGTCCCGGGACCACAGGAGCCTAGCATAAGGTTTAGACCAAGAGTGGCGTGCGTCAAGAACACACTGGTAGCAGCACACAAAATGCATTCAACACGGAGGAGGAGAGATTATAGTCAGACCACACGAAGATAACCTATCATCAGATTGGGAAGATCGGGAAGTCTGATAGCAGGCCCTGCTGATGAAGATGGGAAGGTTCAGCACTCTCAAGCACCTGTAAATTAACAAACCTCTTAGGAAAATTACTGATGTCATATTCCAGATGCTCATAGCCTTTGATGAAGTGATTTCCATTCTAGGTACTTAGCCTACAGGGAGAAAGGCACATTGCCGAGTCATTTCTACACAAGGATCTTCATTGACAACTTTTGGTTTGTTTCTTTTCGAGACAGGGTTTCTCTATATAGCCCTGGCTGTCCTGGAACTCACTCTGTAGACCAGGGTGGCCTTGAACTCAGAGATCCACCTGCCTCTGCCTCCCAAGTGCTGGAATTAAAGGTGTGTGCCACCATGGCCCTGCTCGTCACATGCAAGATGTGGGTGTCACTGGTAGTCTCGGAGCTGTTGGCAAGCCACGCCTGGCTTATTGAGAGCCTTAATGTTCATTAGACACTGATTGGTTCTCTGTGTAAACGAACACGGCATAATCATTAAAGAGCTGATATACGCACTCATGTGAAAGACCTCCGAGTATGATGATAACAAGGAAAGGGGCATGCTTCCACTGGGACTCGGGGAAAAAGGCTATTCAGTATAGCACGTTTATAAATGTACAGACAAAACAAAGGAACATGGGGATTAATTTCACACTAATCCTTTTTTCCCTTGTATTGTTATGTATATGGGTGTTTATTTAGCCTGCATGCAATCCTGCGCACACTTGCAGGCAGTGCCCAGGGAGGCCAGAAGAGGGCGTCAAATGGCCCCAGCCAACACCCCTTCAGGACTGGAGTTACAGATGGTTGGAGGCTGCCAGGTGGGTGCTGGGGATCCAAAGTCTCTAGAAAGGAAGACTGGCAATGGTTTTTTTTTTCAATATTGAAGTATGTTAATGGAGTGCTAGTTAGAGGGTTTAGTGTTCATCTGGTGGGGATTACAGCCACAGGCAGAAGGTCTGAAATAGGTGTCACGAGGATCTGTGGGCTCACTCAGAGGCCCAGAGGGCATGCCAACAGCAGGGAGAGCTCAGCAAAGACGGCCAGCTCCAGTGGCTCAGACTCTTCTGTGGTCTATTGCAACTTGCTGGTTTGTGGCTGGTGTGTTGGGAGATGCTTGTAGTATCAGCACTTGGGAGATCAGGAGTTCCAGGATAGCCCGGACTACATGAAACCCTGTCTGAAGGAAAAATAAGCTAAAAACTAAAAGACAGATTTCTAAGATCAAAGGGATTTCAAGACATTTGTTCGGTGGTTTTGGTGTGAGCTCTTCTCTGCCTGCCTGTGTTAAGGCCAGGGGTATCTTCCTCTCTTTCCTAGTTTTTGAAATGGGGGTCTCTGACAGAACCTAAGGTCTTTTTTGCTAGACTGGCTGGCCACTGGCCTCCTGATCCTCCTGTCTCCCTGGCCCCCAGCACTGGGGTTGAAGGACTAACACTTAACTTTTCCGTGGGTTCGGGTTCTGAACTCAGGTCCTCAAGCTTGCAAGGCAAGTACTCTCCCCAGGGAGCCACCTCCCCAGGGAGCCACCTCCCAGCCCCAATGTTTTATTGTTATTCCTGTTTTTCTTTTCCTAGTGCGATCAAATCTAGCCTACACAAAAACTTACCCAATGCCTGAACTTTTCTAATGTGGTGAGCCTTCCTATAAAAATGACCAGTCTTCAAAGAATTGCAAGGCCATTAGTGCATGCTACTGGAGTGTTGTTTCCTGCAATATATCCCTTGTAACCAGATGCACATGACTGAGACATTTATTACACCTGCGCCTGTTATCAGCGGCATTTCTTCCGGTAATTGACAGGATACAAATCTTGACACTATTAGTGTTCCACTCCAAGGCTAGTGGGTGAGAAAAGGAAATCTGGCTCACTTCTTACCAAAGAACAGAGCCTCTGCCTTGGCCCACCCGGGCTCTGTCCCATTAGCCTGTCACCCTCTCAGATTTCACTGACCCGAGAAGCTACTTTAAATCCTCTTTTGGAGTGAGACAGAACATTTTATATATTTTAAACCTAAGTATGTAAGGTATTTCAAGTATCTTCATCCTTAGGAATAAAAAAAAAAAGGCATGTTAAAATCTAAAAACATGTCCTAAAACTAACTCCAGGCCAGGTTGGTGGTGCACACCTTTAGCCTTAGCACTAGGGAGAATGTCAAGGGACCTGAGGACAACAAAGCCCAGGGCCAGGTCCCCTAGTGAGGCCTGTCTCAAAACACAACAAAAGCGAAGTCTGACATACGAGAATGCGGGACAGTGGTTTCTTTTCTCTCTCTCTCTCTCTTTTTTTCTCGAGACAAGGTTTCTCTGTGTAGCTTTGCGCCTTTCCTGGAACTCACTTGGTAGTCCACTTGGTAGTGTAGGCTGGCCTTGAACTCACAGAGATCCGCCTGCCTCTGCCTCCTGAGTGCTGGGATGGATTAAAGGCATGTGCCACCACCGCCCGGTGACAGTGGTTTCTAGAGCAGAAGACAAGGTTGTAACTGAGGGTGTTAGAGCAGAATGAGTGGAAAATAAAACTCAGCAGGCTGTTTACCTCCATTCCTTCTGGAGGACAGCTAGCAGTGTGATTATTATGACAGAGAACTTAATTGGCCTGCATTCAGAAGCCTGCCTTCCTACTCTGTGCTCAGTACTCACAGTCAGCATGCTGTTAAGGTGAGTCCCACTGGGAGTACGGCCTCAAGCTCCAAATCCCAGCATGGAGGAGACTCAAGTGGGAGGTCTCGATGTTCTGAGGCCAGGCCACAGAGAAAGTGCCAGATCTGGGCTAGCATGGGGTCGGGGCTGGAGAGATGGCTCAGCAGTTAAGAGCACTGGCTGCCCTTTCAGGTGTTCTGAGTTCAATTCCCAGCACCCACATGACGACTCACAGCCATCTATAATGGGATCTGATGCCCTCCTCTAGCGTGCAGGTGTACATGCAGATAGAACACTTATATACCTAAAACACATAAATAAATCTTTGAAAAAAGTGGGGTCCACACTAGTCTCAAATTTCAGCAGCACATCATGTGAGCTGTGACCTTACACCAATTACATGTTTGCTCATGTGAAACATGGTGCCAACAGTAACTGCTTCATAGATTTTGAAGGTTTAGTAACTAACATAAGTGCACAAAAGGTATGTGAGGCCGGTGTGGTGTCAGAGGCAGCAAAACAGGGAATCTGTGAGTTCTACGCCAGCCAGGGCTGCAAAAAGAAAGAAAAGGAAGAAGGTAAGCAGGAGGGGGTGGTACGTGGTGACTGATTCCTCTTACAGTTGGAAGGCTCATACGCCTCTTGGAGTCCATTCAAAACTTCAGACCTAACGACACTGGATTCCAAAGTCCAGGAAGGAGTCCTCATAGCCGCGCAGAAAAATACACAGGACAAACCTTTAGCGTGTGTGTGGTGGGGGAACAGCCCTGTTAATGGAGCTGGTATGGGCTTGGCACTTCCATTTAAACTGTCCACTAATGGAGTTCTCCCGACATCCCCTATTATTTATTGAAGACCTACTTTTAGCACGCTCTGTGGTCAACTATAAGAAGAGCAAATCCCTCAGAGCCCAACCATTCTGGCCCTACTTCTTCAAACTGTCACATTCAAAGGCAGGCACGCAAATGTCATCCAAGTAGCAAAAAAAGCCCGCTAGTTCTGTCATGAATTTAATAGAACTCACAAGTAAGGGAGCTCCCACAAATTCAAGCCCCTGAAACCGCAAACATAAACAATGTGACAACATCAAGTAAAACTGAATGGGACGTCACTGAGTGTGGCCAGTGCTCAGTCCCACTGGATGTCCCGCTCCGCTTCAGGGAGAATACTCCAATTTGGGGAGGGCACATTTCGGGCCAGCCAGTTGAAATCGTCAACGTGGTCCCAGTTATTTCTGCTCCTATCTAAACCGGAGTCCTGGAAGTCCTTGTCGATCCCGGGGTAGCTCCAGGTGTAAGGGGCGAACTGGATGCCGCTGCAGTCCTCCACGATGGCCCTGCTGGTCACCTGCAGGAAAACTCGGGTGTCTTTGGTGGTGTGCACGCGGAGCTGTTGGCAAGCCACAGCCAGTACGCAATCACAACAGTCCTCCAGGAACACGGAGGTGGACACCGGGCCGCAGAGCACCTTGCAGCCGCGGGCCTTTGCCAGCCGCAAGGTGTTGGGATTGCCACGCAGCCTGACAGTGCAGTTGGTCAGGTCGCTCAAAAGGATGTCGCGCTGGTGCAGCTCCTCGGCTCTCTTCTCCAAATCTTGGGACTCCAGGTTGGAGAAGCCACAGGCCCAGCTGAGCCCGGGAGCTCCCTCCTCCTCGGCCGAGGGCGGCGAAGGGGCCGCGGAGGCGGCGGGTGCGGCGTCTACCTGGGCGGCCCCGGCAGCATCCTTCTTCCGCGCCTTGAAGGCGAAGCGCTTCTTGGGCTGCAGCTCCTGGCGCCGCTCGGTGAGGGTCGCCTGCAGCTGCGCCAGCGCCGCCTGGCCCTGCCGCAGGTCGTAGGCCGCGAGGAAGAGCACCGAGTCGTTGAGGAGTCTGCGCAGCCCCTGGAGCCGGTTGGCCGCCTCTTCCAGGCGCTCGGCCGACGCCTCGCCCCGCAGCAGCTCCTCGGCCGCCGCGCGCTCCCGGGCGAAGGCGGCGGCGAAGAAGCCGCTCTTCTCCTCCTCCACCTCCTGGTCCTGCCGCTTCTGCTTGCGCCTCTCCACCTCCAGCTGCCGCTCCTGCTCGCGCCTCTGGATTCGCTCGGGCACCAGGCTCAGGTCCCGCGGGGACGCCGCGGCGCCGTCGCCCAGGGCCGCCGAGCAGCCCACTCCCTCCATCTTGACTCCGGGACTCCCTAGCGGCCGCTCTTCCTCCCGGCGCCCTCCGCAGGGCCTCCCACCAACGCGCCCTGGGATTGGCCGGCCGCGATGACGGCGGATCCCGCCATATCCTCTTCGCCTATTGGTTCCCTCGCGCCGGAGGGGCGGGGCGGGGGCGGGGCCGGCTGACAGGAGGGGGTGGGGAGACAAAGGTCCTGGTGGATGGGTGGGGTGGGAGGCAGGCGGGTGAAGCTTTTTTTTTTTTTTTTCTTCTTAAAGGGGCAGGACTTATATCCGGGATTGTGGGGTGAGTTGCAGCAGCGGCAGCTGCACATGTGGGTTTGTTTATAAGAACAAGGTTAGAAACTCGCAGGCCTCCCCCTCCCCCCAGCTCCTCCCTACTACCCCCTAACAGGCCGGAGATCTGCTACAGGGTGGTGGGGAGGAATGTGTGCTTGTGGTGGCGGTGGGGACAGGTAGTGCGAGAAAGATGGAGGGGGGGTTATTGCACCTCCCGGGCCGCGCCGGAGGAAGCTGCAGCTGGAACAGCTGGCCAGGGAGCCGCTTGCATGCCTCTGGTTTTTTTCTTCTTCGTTTTTTTTTTTCTCTTTCCCTTTTCCCTTCCATCACCTCTTTGCTCAGCCGGTCCCCGCCGCCCCGGTAACCCTCATCCTTCCTGCCCTCCCCCATCCACTGCAGCTCCGCGCGGCCTGGGGGCGCCTGGGTCCCCGTGGGCAGTTACTGGGGCGGGAAGAAGGCGCGAAGCACCGCGACGAAAGAGACTGGGTTCCTCGCTGGAGCGGGGTCCGGGGGTCCTGGGGGAGTCTAAAAACAGATTATTATTAATATTATTATTATTAGCCAATTGCTGCAGTCGGAGGGGGGAGCGGGGGAGGATGACAGGCCACCCCCACCCTCTCTCTCCCCGGGGCGGTGGCGGCCACTCCCTGCGCAGCTGGCGGCCGCTGGCCGCGGGGGCTCAGACCCCAGGCCGGCGCCTCGCCTCTCCCCAAAGGGCCGACGGTCTTGAGGAGGGCGGTGGGGAAACGGTACATTATTTCTAGAGGTGGTGGGAGGGATTTGTCACCGGAAGTGAACGAGCCTAGCCTAAAGTCCGGACCAACCCGAGGTGCGAGTGGGCAGCCAAGACCCAGGACCGCGCCGTGTCAGGCAGAAGCCCAAGGCGGCGGCCGCCGAGGACCAGGGTGGCGTCCTCGCTTGCTGCCTTCAGCCGCCGGGCCTTCTGGACCCGGGCAGCCCACGCAGTCCTCGATATCAGCCCCATCTCCACCCTAGTTACCAACCTCCATTTTTGCTCTTTCAATTGGGATTTTTTTTAATTGCCAAAAGAACTCACTTGAAATTTAACCCATATACCTGCGTATTCTGCAGAGGAAGATGGGAGGGAACGAGAGCCGTTCAATTAAGTTGGAAATAAGACTTGAGTTCCAAGCCTCACATCCCACTCTCCTTTCCTAACCATTAAAAAAAAAAAAATCCAAATCTCAAGCACAAATTCTTGATTGAAGAGAGAGCATTCCTCTACTGAGTCAAGACAGGTGTCACTGGGTGGCAAATTCCAGGCGAGGTGGAGGGCAGATGTAACGGACCGCCAGCGCCGACAGAAAAGAGCAGCCGATGGTCACTTAGGCTAGCCGTGCAGGAGCCTTATTTTTGTTAGTTTTGTTTCCTGGGCAAGATAGGTGAGGCGTTTGTTTTCTACTTTTTAAAAGCAATTTTATTTCACGAAAGTATGAATTTGAGATTGAAATTAGCTGATGACTTTGTTCAGGTTTCCTAGAGGAATGTAGTAGCTGCTTTCTTTCAGGACAGATGGTTTTTTAAAATTAATTAATTGGGGTGTATGTATATAAGTGTTTTGTGTGCACCATGAGTGTGCAGTGTTCGTGGAGGTCAGAAGAGGGCGTTAGATCCCTGGAACTGGAGTTCTCCGCAGTTAATGGGCTGCTATGTAGGTGCTGGCAAAGAGTTCTTAGGAAAGAGCCCATAGTGCACCTAACCACGGAGCCGTCTCTCCAGCCCCAGCTGAAAGATAGATTTAGACTACGAAGATTAAAAGAAGACTGATTTTGCTACAGGAAACAGCAACAACCTGACTTATTTTGCTTAAGGTTCCCAGTATGGGAGCCTGTTCCGTTCTAATTAAGCAAGCTGGTGGTGAAGGGTGTCTTGAGCTTGGAGTTTGGGCTGTCGGCTATGTTGAGTCTGTCAGTGGTTCTAAGTGTGGACGATATGCGATATGCGAAGTGGAAGTCGGTGTCGTCGGCCCCTTTGGGACTGCGTTTCTGCCTATGGACAGGTTTTTGCAGCCTGCTTGATAGGATGGTGCTGAAAAGTGTCTGTTGTTTAGCTTAATGTTTAAGCACAAAAGGACAAAGATGGAGCGTCATGCAACTGACCCTGTGTGTTGGGGACAGTTTTTAAAGACTGGTGTGAGGCCTGAGAGGGGTCGATTTGAGGTTGCCTTGGAGCACTGGGATGAGGTTTTCTATTGCCGGGCTGGAGTAGGTGGCCAAGGCAGGTGTCTGGTTTCTGAGTTAAAAACCAAAGGAAGGCTGCTAAATGCTGGCATTGCCAGCCCGTGTTACATCCTCATTCTAACATGTGAGGGCAGTGGATTGAGAATGTGCCCCTGACAGAATCCCGGCTCGTCAGAGGTAAGTGCCCGCCCTGTTGGAAGGAGAGGGGGGGTTGCAGGAGGAAGAAGACAGTGTTAACTGCACCTCTCAGGGAGAGGCTGGGGAATCTTCCCGGCATCTTGTGAAGTGAAAGAAGGACGTAAAAGGAATATGGAATTTAACTTTTTTTTTTTTTCCAGTTTTTTGAGACAGGTTTCTCTGTGTAGCCTTGCCTGTCCTGGAACTCACTCTGTAGAGCAGGGTGGCCTTGAACTCACAGAGATCCATCTGCCTCTGCCTCCTGAGTGCTGGGATTAAAGGCATGTGCCACCACCACCTGGTGGACTTTTTTATTCAATTATTTCATTTCTGTATGGGGTGGGGGTGGGACACACACATATACACACCACCCCGTGGGTGTGGAGGTCAGAGGACAGCTTTCAGGAGCTGGTCTCTCTCTCTGTCTTTATGCAGGCTCAGGCTTTAGGAAACACTTGACCAGCTCAGCAAATTGTCTAACTTTAACTTATATTTAACATTAATTTGAATATTTTATGGTTCTCTATGCTGGGTTTACTTTTTTGTTTTTTAGATCTCTCTTTTGTTCTTTCTTTTCTTCTTATGTGTATGAGGGTTTGGCCTGCATGTGTGTGCGCCATGTGAGTGCAGGACCCACCAGAAGAGGATGTTGGATCCCCTGGAACTGGAGTTACAGATGGTTGTGAGCCGCTGTGTGGGTGCTGGGAATTGAACCCAGGTCCTCTATAAAAGCAGCATGTGCTCTCACCACTGAGCCATCTCTCCAGTTCCTGCTTGATCTTGTAATGCCTTAAAAGTGAATCATGTACCAGGCTTGTGGTTCATGCTTGTAATCCCAGCACTCAGGAAGCAAAGCAGTAGGATCAAGAATTCCAGGCTAGCCTGGGCTATATAGCAAGATCCTGTCTTTTAAAGAAGAAGAAAAAAACTCATGTTGTAGTTATATGCCTCAAGAAACAAATAAACAAATGGAGAAAGGAGCCTTGGTGTGTGCCTGGACAGTGCAGGAATGTGGCCTCTTGAAGGAGCCTTGGTGTGT